ATAGGAGGACCTACAAGATGGTGGAGGAGTAAGATGCGGAGATCACCTTCCTCCTCACAAATACATCAAAAATACATCTACATGTGGAACAACTCATACAGAACACCTACTGAACGCTGGCAGAAGACCTCAGATCTCCCCAAAGGCAAGAAACTCCGCATGAAACTGGGTAGGCAAAAGAAAAAAGAAAAAACAGACACAAAAGAATAGGGATGTGACCTGCACCTCTGGGAGGGAGCGGTGAAGGAGGAAAGGTTTCCACACACTAGAAGCCCCTTCGCGGGCGGAGACTGTGGGTGGCGGAGGGGGGAAGCTTCGGAGCCACGGAGGAGAGCACAGCAACAAGGGTGCGGAGGGCAAAGCGGAGAGATTCCCACACAGAGGACTGGTGCCGACCAGCACTCACCAGCCCGAGAGGCTTGTCTGCTCACCCACCGGGGGGCAGGCAGGGGCTGGGAGCTGAGGTTAGGGCTCAGGGAGAGGACTGGGGTTGGTGGCGTAAACACAGCCTGAAGGGGGCTAGTGCGCCACAGCTAGTTGGGAGGGAATCCGGGAAAAACTCTGGACCTAAGAGGCAACAGACCATTGTTTCAGGATGCGCAAGGAGAGGGGATTCCTTCCCTGTCTGTCCACAGAAGGCAGAGCACGGCTTAAACGAGCTCCAGAGATGGGCGTGAGCTGCGGCTATCAGCTCAGACACCGGAGACAGGCATGAAACGCTAACGCTGCTGTTGCAGCCACCAAGAATCCTGTGTGCAAGCACAGATCACTATCTACACACCGCCACACCGCCCCGCGAGCCTGTGCAGCCCACCACCGCCAGGGTCCCGTGATCCAGGAACAACTTCCCCAGGAGAACACACGACTCAGGCTGGTGCAATGTTACTTTGGCCTCTGCTGCCGCAGGCTCGCCCCGCATTCCAATTATAACTACCGTACCCCTCCCTCCTTCCGGCCTGAGTGAGCCAGAGGCCCCTAATCAGCTGATGCTTTAACCCCATCCTGTCTGGTGGGGAGACAGAAGCCTGAGGGCAACCTACACGCAGAGAAGGGGCTAACTCCAAAGCTGAACCACAGGAGTTGTGCAAACAAAGAAGAGAAAGGGAAATTTCTCCTTGCAGCCTCAGGAGCAGCAGATTAAAACCTCACAATCAACTTGAGGTACCTACATCGGTGGAATACCTGAATAGACAAGGTATCAACCCAAAATTGAGGTGGTGGACTTTGGGAGCAACTGTAGACTTGGGGTTTGCTGCCTGCACCTGACTTATTTCTGATTTTTATGTTTATCTTAGTATAGTTTTTAGCACTTGTTATCATTGGTGGATTTGTTTATTGGTTTAGTTGCTCTCTCATTTTTATTAAGTACACTTTTATTTTTATTACTTTAATTATTTGTTTGTTTTTTTTTTTCAATTTTTTTTCTTTCCCTTTTTCTCCCTTTTCTTCTGAGCTGTGTGGCTGACAGGGTCTTGGTACTCCAGCCTGGTGTCAGGCCTGAGCCTCTGATGTGGGAGAACCGAATTTATGGCACTGCACCACCAGAGACCTCCCAGCTCCATGTAATATTAATCGGCGAGAGCTATCCCAGAGATCTCTGCCTAAAAGCTAAGACCCAGCTCCACCCAATGGCCAGCAAGGTCCAGTGCTGGACGCCTCATGCCAAACAACTGGCAAGACAGGAACACACCCCCACCCATGAACAGAGAGGCTGCCTAAAAGCATAATAAGTTCACAGACACCCCCCAAAAATACCACTGGATGCAGTCCTGCCCGCCAAAAAGACAAGATGCAGCCTCATCCACCAGAACACAGACACCTGTCCCCTCCACCAGGAAGCCTACACAACCCACTGAACCAACCTTACCCACTGGGGGCAGACACCAAAAACAATGGGAACTACAAACCTGCAGACTACAAGAAAGAGACCCCAAACACAGTAAGTTAAGCAAAATGAGAAGACAGAGAAATATACAGCAGATGAAGGAGAAACGTAAAAACCCACCAGACCAAACAAATGAAGAGGAAAAAGACAGTCTACCTGAAAAAGAATTCAGAGTAATGTTAGTAAACATGATCCAAAATCTTGGAAAAAGGATGGAGAAAATACAAGGAATGTTTAACAAGGACCTACAAGAACTACAGAGCAAACAAACAAGGATGAATAACACCATAAATGAAATTAAAAATTCTCTAGAAGGAATCAATAGCAGGATAACTGAGGCAGAAGACCTGATAAGTGAACTGGAAGATAAACTAGTGGAAAAAATTACCACAGAGCAGAATAAAGAAAAAAGAATTGAGGACAGTCTCAGAGACCTATGGGACAACATTAAACGCACCAACATTCAAATTATAGGGGTCCCAAAAGAAGAAGAAGAGAAAAAGAAAGTGTTGGAGAAAATACTGGAAGAAATTATAGTTAAAAACTTTCCTAACATGGTAAAGGAAATAGTCAGTCAAGTCCAGGAAGTGCAGAGAGTCCCATACAGGATAAATCCAAGGAGAAACATGCCAAGACACATTATAATCAAAATATCAAAAATTAAATACAAAAATAATATTAAAAGCAGCAAGGGAAAAGCAACAAATAACATACAAGGGAATCCCCATAAGCTTAACAGCTGACCTTTCATCAGAACCTTTGCAAGCCAGAAGGGAGTGGCAGGACATATTTAAAGTGATGAAAGGGAAAAACCTACAACCAAGATTACTCTACCCAGCAAGGATCTCATTCAGATTCAATGGAGAAATCAAAACCTTTACAAACAAGCAAAAGCTAAGAGAATTCAGCACCACCAAACCAGCTCTACAACAAATGCTAAAGGAACTTCTCTAGGCAGGAAACACAAGAGAAGGAAAAGACCTACAATAACGAACCCAAAACAATTAGGAAAATGGGAATAGGAACATACATATTGATAATTACCTTAAATGTAAATGGATTAAATGATCCAACCAAAAGATACAGACTAGCTGAATGGATACAAACAAGACCCGTATGTAGGCTGTCTACAAGACACCCACTTCAGACCTAGGGACACATACAGACTGAAAGTGACGGGATGGGAAAAGATACTCCATGCAAATGGAAATGAAAGGCAAGTTGAAGTAGCAATTCTCATATCAGACAAAATAGACTTTAAAATAAAGACTATTACAAAAGACACAGAGGACACTACATAATGATCAAGGGATCAATCCAAGAAGAAGATATAACAGTTGTAAATATTTCTGCACCCAACATAGGAGCACCTCAATATATAAGGCAAATGCTAACAGGCATAAAAGGGGAAATCAACAGTAACACAATACTACTAGGGGACTTTAACACCCCACTTTCACCAATGGACAGATCATCCAAATGAAAATAAATAAGGAAACACAGCTTTAAATGACATATTAAACATGATGGACACTATAAAACCCTTAGAGGAAAATATAGGCAGAACACTCTATGACATAATCACACCAAGATCCTTTTTGACCCACCTCCTAGAGAAATGGAAATAAAAGCAAAAATAAACAAATGGGACCTAATGAAACTTAAAAGCTTTTCCACAGCAAAGGAAACCATAAACAAGATGAAAAGACAACCCTCAAAATGGGAGAAAATATTTTCAAATGAAGTAACTGACAAAGGATTAATTTCCAAAATTTACAAGCAGCTCATGTAGCTCAATATCAAAAAAAACAAACAACTGAATCACAAAATGGGCAGAAGACCTAAATAAACATTTCTCCAGACAAGATACATGGATTGCCTAAAAACACATGAAAGGATGCTCAACATCACTAATCATTAGAGAAATGCAAATCAAAACTATAGTGAGGTATCACCTCACACTGGTCAGAATGGTCATCATCAAAAAACCTACAAACAATAAATGCTGGAGAGGGTATGGAGAAAAGGGAACACTCTTGCACTGTTGGTGGGAATGTAAATTGATACAGCCACTATGGAGAACAGTATGGAAGTTCCTTAAAAAACTACAAATAGAACTACCATACGACCCAGCAATCCCACTACTGGGCATATATCCTGAAAAAACCATAATTCAAAAAAAGAGTCACATATCACAATGTTCATTGCAGCACTATTTACAATAGCCAGGACATGGAAGGAACCTAAATGTCCATCGACAGATGAATGGATAACGAAGATGTGGCACATATATACAATGGAATATTACTCGGCCATAAAAAGAAATGATATTGAGTCCTCTATAGTGAGGTGGATAGACCTAGAGTCTGTTATACAGACTCCTTCCTTTCTGAAGGGAGTCAGAAAGAGAAAAACAAATACCATAGCTAACACATATACATGGAATCTAAAAAGAAAAAAAAAAAGGTTCTGATGAACTTAGAGGCAGGATCGGAATAAAGATGCAGAAGCAGAGAATGGACTTCAGGGCATAGGGAGGGGGAAGGGTAAGCTGGGACAAAGTGAGAGAGTAGCACTGACATATATACACTACCAAATGTAAAACAGATAGCTAGTGGGAAGCAGCCACATAGCACAGGGAGATCAGCTGGGTGCTTTGTGACCACCTAGTGGGGTGGTATAGGGAGGGTGGCAGGGGACACAAGAGGGAGGGGATATGGGGATATATGTATACATATAGCTGATTCACTTTGATATACAGCAGAAACGAACACAACATTGTAAACAATTATACTCCAATAAAGATGTTACAAAAAAGAAAGAAAGAAAGAATTGGAAAGTCACAGAAATCCTTTCACCGGAGATATTAACAATGGTGCCTGTGAAGATTTAGCCATAGAAATGTTTAGAGGCAAGGGGAAGGTATGAAATGACTTACTGTATGAATATACACTGTTTGAACAAATACTGTGTATATATATATATATATATATATATATATATATATATATATATATGGCAAAACTCTATTATCACAACCCTGAGAACAGTAACTATCCCCGTTTACTTCCTAAACAAACACAAAAGACAAAATACCAGACTCTGTTGTGCTTACATGTGCCTTTCATGCATGTCATTGTTGAGGAACATAACTCAATGACCCGAACAGCAAAAGCTCCTGGTTCTTCTGCTGGCACTGTCAAAATGGAAATCTAAAAAGCAGAAACAAAATATCAGACATAGCTGTTAGATCTCATTTTCATTTTTCTATCACTAGAGTGTAATTAACTTCCAAACTGAGTGTCTTTTTTCAAACTCTCATTGATGTTTGAAAAACATTGATCTGTAAGGATTGAATTTTAGAACACAGTTTGAAACATAAAGCATGCACATGTGTCCTGATGTCCAGTTTCTGCATTATTGATATATTTATATATGATATATATATTGCAGTCCTTTAATTTGTAGACAAGAAATATTTCAAATATCTTTAATATTTATTAAATCCTTCACTTACTACATATTTTCAAAGGATATGATTAATTACCTCTGAGTTGTATGTACTTCACTGTTTGAAATCAGAGCACATTAAATTAATTTTGATTATTCATATTGGCTAAAATAGCAGTTATAGAGCACTAAAAACTTAAAATGTTACAAATTGCAAAGAAATTGAAATAAGCAAAGTATATGTCAAAATGTACCAAAGTACAGCTAAACATATTCCAAAATGTTTCAAAATGAATGGCTTCAAAGTAATTTAAGGACTCCGTTAATATGTAGTATGCTGCCCTAGGCAGCACTCATATGCTATATGGCTTTATATTTAAAAAACTTTAAATAACCATCAGGTCAGTGTTTCTCTACAGAACCAAAAGCTTCAATATTAACTCTCAATTTAATCTTCAATCTGAGGAAACTATATCATTTTATATAGGAAACATTGCCAAAAAGTAAAGCCCCATTTGTACTTTTATCTGTGAGCATTATGCTTAGATTTTTGACGGGCAATGTCACATTGATAGCCTACCAAGGAAATGCCTACAAGTTCTGAAAATAGAAATTATTTTGATAATCATGACTATCTTACTATTATTACCTGTATATACATTTTGGGTTTTACAATGTCTCAAAAATTGTGTTCTCCATATTCCTCTTAACTCCTTTTGCTGCTGTCTATGATAAAAAGTGTTGTACTTTAGCATTAAAGAGAGAGGAACCACTAAAACATGGATTTAATGTCATATGATAATTATCAAATGACTATGACTAAAAACATGTGTATAACTGGAAAGGTATCTTAAGGACTGTATCAACACGTAAGTACTTCTTTTGTTTCCTACAACTATCATCTGTATTTTTTTAAAAAATTGAGATATAATCAGTAACCCCCTACCACAGTGCCTTCTGTCTGAACCCTGAGAATGTAACTGTCTTAAATCTCAGAGAGATTATGACAGCCATCAAAAGATAATTCCTTCAACACTTTAATATCACTTCCATAAAATTTATCTAGACTGACACCTACTCTTTCCTCTAAGTCTCATCATTTTATTTGTGCTTCAAAAATTTAAAAAGGGGAAAAAAACTCATATAGGAAACAAAAAAAGGCAGGCCAGGTGTACATTTTAGATTAATCTCTCTGATGGCTATATGGAGGATAGATTTATAGGAGACAAGATGAGAAGCAGGGTGACCAGTTAGAAGGAAGAGGTGATGAGTTCCAAAACTGGAGCAGTGAGAATAAGGATCAAGAGGAAAAGCAGACTGGAGCAACTTCTAGGATGTTCAGTGACAAGGATCTGGAGGTTCATGAGATTTCAGAGATAGGAGGAAGAAATTGTTGTTGGAAGGATGTAAGTGCTTTCATGGAAGTAGGAAGCGATGGATGAGTAGTTTGGAGAGGGAAGACGGTGAGTTCAGCTCTGAGTATGTTCAGTTTGCGGAGTCCTTGGGACAGATGTCCAGTAGGAAATTTGGCCTGTGGGCCAAAAGTCCTGGGAGATATACAAGTGGAAGGCCGTCACCAACTTTTATGCAGAGTTGGAACCATGAGAGTACATGGAGTCAAGCAGCAAGTGTGCAAAGAGTAACAGATATGGTGGGCTGAGCTGAGAACCCTGAGGAGGCCCAATATTTAAGAGGAGGATAGAGCCCACAGAGGAGGCAGAGAGGGAATAGCCACAGAGTTATGAGGAAAACCAGAACACAGTGTCATGGAAGCCAAAGGAGTAGAGAGTTTCAAGAGAAAGGGAATAATCAACACTGTCAAATATACCAGAAAAGACCTAGTAAACAAAACCCCCAAAACGCCTTGTGGTCTTGACTAGTACAAAGTTATTAACAAACTTACCAAGAGAAACTATGGTAGGAATGTGAGGGTAGAAGCCAGGTTGGTCTAGAAATGAATGAGATGTAAGGAGCTGGAGGCAGCAAGTAGAGATACCATCTCAAAAATATTGACAGGAGCAGGGGAGAGATTGGATACTAGCTACAGATGGGGGCAGACTTAAGGGAGCATTTTTCTGTTTGCCTTATTATTTTAACTTTTGGAACAGAAAATGCCAATACATGTGCATAGGTTGAGGGGAAGGTGCCAATAGCGGGGAGAAGCTAAAAATGTAGGAGAGAGAGCAGGCATACAGGGTGGTGTGGGTGCATGTGTGTGTCAAGCGTGCTGGTGAAAGGGCTTGGCCTTGGACAAGGAGGGGAGACCCCTCATTAGTCTCTGTGCTGGTGTACATAAGTTGTGGGTGGTCAGGCAGGAGGTCAAAGGGCACTGTGCTTAGTAGGTGTCCTTACTTTTCTCAGCAAAGTGATGGGGGAGAGTGAGAGGGCTAAAGGTGGGTAAAATAGTGAAAAGTTGGACTAGGCTCTGAGGGGAGAGGGCACTGTCTGAGCCAGTGAGGAGCTAACTGGTGGTGGGTACTGAGGGTCCTGCTGGATGAGGTTGGTGCCCCCAACACCGTGGTGGCGCCAGTCTGTCTGTCTGTACTGTTTTCCCAATCATCCTTAGTGATCCAGGTGTAGATCCCAGCTTCATCCAGGGATGGGACTTTCCTCTGTGGGTGCAGAGGAAGAACATGGCTACACAGGAATTGAAGGTGTTGGAGAAAGAGCAGTTCAGAAGATCCACCATGTGGTCTAGGACACGGAAAAGGAAGAGGGCAGAAGGGAGCTAGTAATCCCGGAGGAAACAGAGGGAACAAGGAATTGTAGGTCTCTTTTAATAGGTCAATGAGTAGGCTGGGTGGGGGTAAGAGAATGAAAAAGCTGGAAGGATCAGAGCAGATTAATGCCACTGTAAACCCATGACCTCCAGATTCAACTGGACCCCTCAACACTGCCCAGCCATCTGACCACGAGACAGGTCACTCTCCACGGTGATTATTTTACACCCTTCCATGAGCTTTGACCCATACCCACACTCATACCTCCATTCTCAGGAGATAACCTCACCTTGTAATTTAAAAAGTAAATAGAACCCATCAGATGGGAACTCCCAAACCTACAGATTCTCCTGCATTCACCCTCTTATTTCAAAGTGTCTCACATCACATCTAAGGGCAATGTTTTTTACCTGTTCTCTGAATCCCATCCTCCCTAGCCTTTATCTGGACCTTCTGCATCAATTATCCTCCTTTTCTCCTGGGAATCTTCAACCTCTCCCTCTCTACTGGCCCCATCCCCATCAGTTGAAATATACTCTAATACAGGGGGCCCCAACCCCCGCGCCACGGATGGGTACCAGTGTCTGTGGCCTGTTAGGAACTGGGCCGCACAGCTGGAGGTGAGAGGCAGGCAAGCGAGTGAAGCTTCATCTGTATTTACAGCCGTTCCCCATTGCTCGCGTTACCGCCTGAGCTTCGCCTCCTATCAAATCAGTGGTGGCAACAGATTCTCACAGCGCAAACCCTATTGTGAACTGCGCATGCGAGGGATCTAGGTTGCACACTCCTTATGAGAATCTAATGCCTGATGATCTGAGGTAGAGCTGAAGCGGTGATGCTAGCACTGGTGAGTGGCTGCAAATACAGATTATCATTAGCAGAGAGGTTTGACTGCACAGAGACCATAATAAATCAATTGCTTGCAAACTCATATCAAAACCCTATCAGTGAGTCGCAAGTGAAAACAAGTTCAGGGCCCCCACTGAGTCTGCCGTATGGTGAGTTGTGTAATTATTTCATTATATATTACAATGTAATAATAATAGAAATAAAGCGCACAATAAATGTAATGTGACTGAATCATCCCAAAACCATCCCCCCCACCCTGGCCCATGGAAAAACTGTCTTCCACGAAACTGGTCCCTGGTGCCAAAAGTGTTGGGGACCGCTGCTCTAATACTTTAAAGAAATGCTCTCTTCGCTTCCACATCCCACTGCAGGAATCACTTCTTCCCTCTTACTCTTCCCAGCTTAGCATCTTCAGAAGCACCTGTTTGCTCTCTTCACTTTTCTGCCTTTGTCACTCTTCGACCCATTCACAAAGCTTATGGTTTACTGGGAGCTACAGACAAGTAAACTGGCAACTACAGGTCAGTGTGATGAGTGCTATGATTTTACCACTTCTCGCTCACACCTGTCACACTGTACTGTCGTTGCTATTTATCTGTCTGTATCTGTATCCTCTAGACTGCAAGCTATGAGGGCACAGATGCTATCGTGGTCAGCACTATCTCCTCAGAACCCAGCACACTGGCTGGCATGTCGAAGGCACTCATTGTCTGCTGAATGATTAAATGAAAGTATTTGCGCTCACTCATAAAATTAACATATTTGCTTTATATAATACAAAGCTTCCAACTTAAGGAAATTTCGGAACCTATTTTTAGCAGTAGCATATAGGATAGGTCTGACAGTCACACTTACTGAGTAAGCTGATTTTATCAGTCCTGTAAATTATGGTCAGAAGGAGAAGGGGGCATACTTCTGGAATTTAAGTGTTCAAACTGAGGAAAAACCACAGGTATAAAGACACTTCTATCAAATCAGGGGTTATGAGGAGGAAGGGGGTACCGAAATGAACCATGGTGATGAGGAAATGTCAGAACTGAAAACGTGTGCTGATATTCATTCACACCGGGCCCCTAATGGTGAGCTTACCACCACTGCTGTAGGACTGGTTACCATAAAGCCTTTTCCTCCAAGATTTTTAAATGCTTCTAAATGCTTTTCTTCTCATAGTAATATACTTTCAATTTCATAGAAACAGCTGTAAAAAAAACTACGATGATTTCAATATTCCTAGAATAAATCTGTTACATAAGATGCAATTATTTGTTCCACTGAAAGGAAATCTTTAAGAAACCAAGATTATTACATAATTGCCATTATGTGTTTTTAAAATGCATTAAATGTATTAGTACATATTGGTTAATATATTTTATTTCACCGATGTTAATTTACACATATTACCATGTAGATTAAGTTAGTAACATGCTATTAAAAAGTACAGAACTGGAATTACCTGTTGATCTGAATCTGTTTTTAGTACAGACCTATCCGTAATCAAGACTGCCCTGGAGATCTGCCTGTAATGCAGAAAACAGTTAATAAGTGACTCAGATTCCATGGATAAATTTCATTTATATAGCTATACAACCACCAGAAGGCATGTTTCAAAGAACTGTTATGATAAAAGTGTCACCTCTCCAAACCAAGTCAAGTTCTGCTTTAATCTTTTCTTGGCTCATGAAAGGAGGATGTGTGACCTGGAGACAGACCCCAGCTGATGCAAAGGAGTCAACATTAGGCTAGGCTCCTCCACAAAACCAGACCTTATAAGAGAACAGTGGTAACACACTGAATATATCTTTGGTTTGGTATACATTTGCATCCTACTTGAAGAACAGAGTCATACAGAAGTGTCAATGTAATCACACAGGTGAATTTCCCCGTTTCACCTTCCCTTGCAGAGTGGCTGGAGGGGTGCCTTACCTGTATTGCACATGCGAGCACATGTTCTCAGAAAAGTAACTGTCTTCCACAAGGAAATGCTTAGAGATTATTCTCTGACCAAACTGATCTATGATTGCTTTACATCTACGAAGAAGATAAGCACAGCAAAATAGTTCTCATTAATGATTACATAATTGAGAAAATGAACATACTCAGCTACCAATCTTGAATCTAAAACTAATGTCTTAAAAGACAAGATTTTAAAATTGCCTACAATTTCACATTTTTGACACAAAACTTCACTAAACTGCAGAATATACATTCTTGTTGCTATTTTGAAGTCTTTTAAACTATAAAATAAGTATACACTAGAACTTATTTATTTTGAATGCTTAATAATAAGAATAAAGCTAGGACAAGTATTATTCTATAAGCTTTTCTAATGTTTAGGAACATAGAAGCTTTTTCTTTGTTTAGGAAACAGGCTTTTTTTTTTTTTTTTCTTAACAGATCTAAGAAGAGGGGGAGGAAAAGTTGATTAAATATCTTGTTATATCATTCGCAGCCTATAAAAGTCACTAAAGGCTTTTTATTTTTCTGTTAAGTGTCACTTTCTCTTTTGTTCAAGAATAGCTATCTTGTCCCACGTGTGATAATGTTTTAAACCAAAAAAATGGGATGGAGCCTTCTTTTAATATCTGTTTCCACTTTACTCCAAAGGATGATCATATAAAGATTTCTTTCAAGTGCTGTTTCCAAATAAGGAAAACACTTATGCATGGACATTATCAGGTCTCTGTCATCTGATATGTATTGGGAAAATGAATCATATAGAACCCTCCACTGACCTTCTTTCAGTGTGCCTAGATAAAAGGATGAAAATTAGAATCCATCTCCTTACAGTGCCACAAGTTATAAATGTACTTTATAGGGCTCATTATCCAAACTAATGGACTAAGGGAAACATCCTTGAAATGGACTTACCAGCACTGACAAAGCCAGTATGCAATATTTCAGGAACTATATGCAAATACCTGCATGTTTTCCATATCTTTTTATTATGGAAATAGCACAATTTACTTTTGTCACAGCTTTCCTTTCGGGACTAGAATTATTTTATTAGAAATACACTTATGTGTTGCTCCTCATAAAACGCAAGCAAATAATTTCAAACTTATGTCATATTTTAAATATACTGGTATAAATTAAAATATGTTACATCACTCTAAAAATAAGCCAAGTAAGAGCTATTTACCAGGCATAAAGGCATTAACAGTAAAATGACAAATACCCAAGGCCAATTGTGAGAGTAATTTAATGTGTATTTCCTAAAGGCAGATTATGATATGCTGATATTTTTGAATAAATGGCATGCCACTGTCATCAGGATAGACTATGATATCTCGTGATGTTAGATATACATATTTTTAATCAATTAACTACATATTAATGCATGTTATATTACATTAATATTTACATGATTTTTCCCCATCTCACCTCCATTCCACTTCCTTTCTCTTCCCCACTTATGTTTCTATGCATATCTCTTCACATTTCATTAAACTAGAGCTCTCACTTTATAATACTTAACTATATAGATATAAGGTATTTATACCTATTTTCCAAAATAAGTATTTAAAAACTGAAAGGCAAGTTACTCATTCAGTCTCCTGTTTTATTTATTTACTTATTTTTTTAAATTAAAAAAAAAAATTGGGGGGCTGTGCCGTGAGGCTTGTGGGATCTTAGTTTCCTGACCAGGGATCGAACCCGGGCCCTGGCAGTGAAAGTACCGAGCCCTAACCACGGGACCACCAGGGAATTCTCTCAGTCTCTTGTTTAAGACATTCATATATAATTTAAAACACAAGGTACTTTGGCGAGGGAAAAGAGAAATCTGCTGATCCATCATGAAGCATTGATCCCTATTTGTCCTGGAAACACTGACAAGCCTTTTTCTTACCTTTAACTCAGAGACTATACAAATTCAAGAGGGAATAATCTGGGCAGAAAAAAGAGAGTGTAAAAATCTTCTATATCTTGATAGGGATTTGGGTGATACAGATTTATCATCTGTCAGCACTCAGGTAATGAAACTTAAGATTTGGGCACTTTAGGGACTTTCTTGGTGATCCAGTGGCTAAGACACTCCCAATGCAGGGGGCCCGGGTTCAATCTCTGGTCAGAGAACTAGACCCTACCTGCATGCTGCAACTAAAGAGCCCACATGCAGCAATGAAGATCCTGCGTGCCACAACCAAGACCCAGCACAGCCTAAATAAATAAATAAATATTAAAAAAGAAAGATTTTTGCACTTTATCATATGTAAATATTATATCAGAAGAAAAAGCTGTAAACAAATATTAAACTCTAGTTAATGATATGCACACTGAAGTGTTTAGGGTGAATTGTACTGATATCCGGAATTTACTGTGAAATGCTTAAAAATGGTGAATAGAACAGAGGGATGAATATTTGTGTAGACATATGATTAAGCAAGCATATTAAAATGTTAACTGCAGAATCTAGGTGGTGGATATATAGGTGATCATCCTGAAATTCTTTCAACATTGGCGCAGAGTTGAAAATTTTCACCATAAAATGTTGGAATCAAATTGAGACGGAGTGATGTTAGTACAAATCTTGGACTCCAGTCTAAGTCTTTGCAAAGGGCTCCCATTTAAATAAACCACACAACTAAACCTTGCCCTCAAGCTTGTGGAGAGCTCCTTGCTTGTAGGCTTCCAAACACTAATGGGGCTGCTTTGGTGGTAGTTACACCTTTGGTGACAGGCAGACATTGGTTTCAGAAATTACGGTATTAGAACTACTGAGGACCACTCAAGAGGGAAGGACGGGTGCATGGAGATTGGGAGCTCAACTATGCAAGCACAATATGCCAATAAATGTGCCTCTTTATGCTGAAGCTTCTGGATGAAACAGTAATTCTTAGAGCAGAAGGAGAAGGAAGCAAATCAGAATCACACCTGGGGGACTTTTTCAAATTATAAGTACCCCTGGAGATTCTGATAAGCTCCCAAATCCCAAGGAAGAATCACCATGCAGTGTGCCACAGTACTGTTGTATCTTTACGCTGTGCTAGGTAGAGAAAAGTCAAGAGCTATTGCTACAGAAAAAAATATTGATTTCTGCAGAAATTGAGGTGATGGTCACATATGCCTAGTCAGTCTGGTAGATGATAATACAACTTACCTGATAGTCTCATGCTAAAGTACTAAGGCTCTAGGCCTGAGCAAAGCTGTTCAAACCAAAATACATTTAAGTAAGTGATAAGATTTGTTTTCCCCTCAGATACTTATTTACTGTCATATATTAGGCCTAATTGGGAGAACAACGAATAAAGGAATATTGATTTGGTACCTAGACTTAGACTTTGTATTACAAAGATTAATATAAAAAAATATGACATTCAAGTAACGAAAAACAACAAAATGAAACAGTGCTGCCAGAGACATTAAAATACCCCCTTGTCCACCCCTCCCACATGAACCTGAGGAAGCCATTAAAGATTAACAACATTCTGGATTTAGTTGAGGGCCTTGCTGAGCCTCATAAATAGTAAATTGAGGAGGAACATGATAGGAATTTCCAGTTACACGGACACAATGACCAAGCTGATCATAAGAATCACTGAAGCCAGACAGAACATTTCTAGAGCTGAGCTTTCTAAATCAACAAATCACAACGGCTATTCAGTTCTTGGTTCAATGACATGAGGACATAAAGAACAAAATGATGATAAGGAAGAAAACAATCAGCAAGATGAAAACTCTTTATCTGGAATTTGGCCCAGAAGATAAAAATAACATTAAAACAGGTATCCATTCTCTATAATCTTCAGAATTAATATCCCAGCTGATTTTATGATAAGGAATACATAAATCACATATGAAATCATGAAAAGGAAAATATATTAAGGAAATTAGAAGATTCCCAGTAATTGAAGGAAACAAGATAATTCCCCCTACTCACTATGCCCTTCCATACTTTCTCAAACACATTAGTTCAAATGCCACCTCTTCGATGAAACCATTCCAAAATGCCTATTACTCATTTTTCTTTGGTAAAAATCTACTCCAATAGTCTCAAACATGATTATAATTCCAAACCTATGGTTCTCTGTTGTAATCAATCCCAAGCTCTGTATCCATATTTTTAACTGTCTATTACCTATTTTTTCTGGATAGGTAATAGACAGTTAAATCATGGCTCCTCACCTGCTCCCCCACTTGGAATCCCAGTCTCAGTTAATGGCATGACCAGCAGTTATAGAGTTTCCCTAGCTCAAAATCTCTCTTCCCACATCTAATCTGCTACTCAAAACTAGCCCCTTTTCTCCATCTCCACTGACACTGCCCTAGATTTTTGTTAAGTCTAATAAGACATTTGGACTGCTAACACATTGGTAGCTTATTTGTTTGACATAGTGTGTGGCATAACAACCATGTGCCAAGCACTGTTCTAAGAGGTGAAAGCTTGGGAGGGAGGGGCAGAGTATCAGGGAATGCTCTTTGGAGGAAGTGATACATTAGCTGCTTTTGAAGCAGTTAAAACCAGTTAAAACAAGCAAATAAGAAGAACATTTCAGTAGAAGGGCAGCATCTGCAGGGGTACAGAGGCAACTAAGAGAAGTACAGGGAGGGAACCACAAGCAGTTCAGTGTTACTGACAATAAAATGGAAGCAGAGAGAGAAGAGAGATGAGCTGAGAGAGGCAGGCAAAGGTCAGACCCCAAAGTCTCATGTGTCATGTAAAAGGGTCTCAGACTTCATTCTGAAGTGATATAAAGTCACTGAAACTTTTTACATAGGGAGGGACAAAGCCAGATCTGCATACTGAACAGATCTCAATGCGTAATTATCTCATTAATTTATTTGTTCCTTAATGTCCCCCAGTAGACTCTAAGCTCCACGAGAACAAAGACCATGATTGTCTTGTTCTGTGCTGTATCTCTAGTGCCTGGCATGCAGATAACAAATGTTCATGGATGACTGAATAGATGGACGGATGATGGAAGTATTCCATGTACATGAATAGTGCAGAGACAGAAACAAAGATATAGAATCTCTGATTTAGCAGGTAAAGAATCTCCTTCCATCACAGTGCTTCTTCCAAATCACTT